AGCAGCAGCAGCAGCAGCAGCAGCAGACCTTGAGGCCCGTGGCGTGGACGCGTTCGGCCAAGTTGTCAACAGCAACATTGCTGGGAGCAGCAACAAGAAGTGGCTTTTGCTGCGGCCTGCAGCAGCACAGGTGCTGCACCAAAGTTGCTGCTGTCAAAGTCTTGCCTGTTCCCGGGGGCCCCTAAAAGCAAATAAATAAATAAAACAAATAAACAAATAAATAAACTAATTAATTTAATTAATTAATTAATTTATTTATTTATTTATTTATTTATATTTTATTATTCAGCTGGGGCGCATTTGAAGCAGCAAAAGAAGCAGCAAACCAAACCACCTCAAACCCGGACAAATAAATTAAATAAATAATCAATTAATTAATTAATTAATTAATCAATTAGTTTATTTATTTATTTATTTATTTATTTATTTATTATTTGTTGCTACCTGTATTAAAGTTATGGGGTGCTGCAGCGCGAAGCGAATGGCTTCGATTTGGCTGTGGTTGAGGGGGAAGGGAAACGGCGAAGACAAGTTGGCCGGCACGGGGACACTAAACAAACAAATAAATAAACAAATAAACAAAAATAAATAAATAAATAAACAAATAGTTGTAAACGGGGAGAAAGTGCTGCCAAAAACACACAGAATGAGCGCAGCAGCAGCCGCAGAGCTGCGCTGCAGCCAGCAGCAGCAGCAGGAAAAAGTGCAGCAGCAAATGAAGCAGCAGCAGCAGCAGCAAGAGCCCACAGCGCATCACCACAGCCAGCAACCCCTTCAGGAGCAGCAGCAGCGCGCTAAGCACCAACAAACAACACCATCAGAATCACAACCAGCAGCAGCAGCAGCAGCAGCAGCAGCAGCGCAATCACGACCACCACCAGGACCAGGCACATCGCCGGAATCCACATCACCAGCAGCAGCAGCAGCAGCATACGCAGCAGCACCAGCAGCAGCAGCGCAAGCTGCAGCACCAAGCACATCGCCGGAATCGGCATCTTCAGCAGCAGCAGCATACGCAGCAGCAGCAGCAGCACAAGCTGCAGCACCAAGCACATCGCCAGAATCGGCATCTTCAGCAGCAGCATACGCAGCAGCAGCAGCAGCACAAGCTGCAGCACCAAGCACATCGCCGGAATCGGCATCTCGAGCAGCAGCAGCAGCAGCAGCAGCACAAGCTGCAGCACCACGCACATCGCCAGAATCGGCATCTTCAGCAGCAGCATACGCAGCAGCAGCAGCAGCACAAGCTGCAGCACCAAGCACATCGCCGGAATCGGCATCTCGAGCAGCAGCAGCAGCAGCAGCAGCAGCAGGCGGACTCGAGTTTGTGGGAGGGGACTGCGTTTCCGAGGAAAGCGTCGAAGAGCAGCGGCGAAAGGGCTTTTTCTTCAGCAGCAAAAGCGTCAAGTGCAGCAGACATTCTCCGGAAGGCGCAGGGGTTCCAGATACACTGCACGGTGTACGTACGCGGCGTGGGGTCGTCCCAGGGGCCTCCCTGTTCCAAACGCGCAACTCGCCATTTAATTTAATTCATTTAATTGTTTAATTGTTTAATTGTTTGACATTCAATTCTTTTCAAGTTGGACCGTCTAGGCCGCGTGGGCGGTCCTTTCTTGCGCTCGCCGCGCGGCCGGACGCCGCCCCGCAGATCGGCCGCAGCAGCAGCAGCAGCAGCAGCAGGGTTGCGGCAGCAGCAGCAGCAGCAGGGTTGCAGCAGCAGCAGCAGGGGGAGCGGGAGCAGCACCGCGCCGCTGTCAGCGCGGGGCCATCATAGCCATCAGCAGCAGCAGCAGCAGCAGATGAGCAGCACCAGCACCAGCACCAGCAGCAGCAGCAGCAGCAGCAGCAGCAGCTCACCTTTGCCTTGGCTGCGCTGGAAACGACGGCTCGAATGAGTCCAGTGAGTTTATTTATTGCTGCGACCCAAACCCTAACGGACCACTGGACCGTAGTGGTGTCAATGACGTTCCCCGCAGTGCTGCT